TTAAATTGTTGTGTATCTGGCTTCAGGCCGAAGGCTTGAAGCCTGATGCACAATCACTTAACCTAAAAATAATTGACTTATCATTGTCTGCATTCTGCAATCTATTCATGTGAGTATCTTCTTCCTTATCCACGGGTAGGCAAAAATCAATAGGTCAGGTTAGGTAAGGTTTGGTTATGTTTTCTTTTACTTTGGTGACATGTAAGTGGGTTTCTTTACCTTTGAAAAGCGAGTCGGTCCTAAAGTTAATACTTACGGGTCAGGTTAGGTTAGGTTAGGTTAGGTTAGGTTAGGTTGGGTTAGGTTAATTTCGGCTAATTGGCATTTCGGCAAATTGACATTTCGACTAATTGACTTTTCGGTAAATTGACATTTCGACTAATTGACACTTCGGCAAATTTACATTTCGACTAATTAGCATTTCGGCAAATTAGCATTATGGCGAATTGACATTTCGACTAATTGACTTTTCGGCAAATTTACATTTCGACTAATTAGCATTTCGGCGAATTGACATTTCGACTAATTGACTTTTCGGCAAATTGACATTTCGGCAAATTGACATTTTCGACTTATTGCACGTCGGCAAAAAGGCATGTCGGCAAATTGCATTTCGACTTTTAGCACTTCGCTCTTTTGACACGTCGGCAAAAAGACACGTCGGCAAAATGCATTCGACATATTGACATTCGGCGAATAAGCATTCGGCAAAATGCAGTTCGGCAAATTGTCTTGTAACCGATTTCCGGTGGGCATAGTGACTTTGGTATGTCAATGTCTTTGAAAAGGCAGGTGAGAATGCCACTGGTCAGCCTTGCTTCAATTGGATTTGTGTCCATTTATAAATGGATTTCAGTCATGCCTACTTACCTACATATGTTATTGGTGTTTGATTTCTACAGCTCAAAATATTGCTAGGTGCTGTACAGCAAACTGAATGGAAGTGATCCGTACAAACATTTGGTGAAATGTTTTCTGGATTGCTAGCACTTAGAACTTGTTTATTCTGTTGTAGGTGACAAGCACTGAACTCTATAATGTGGAAGGCGCATCGGCCGCCAGATGGTGTCCAACGGTGCCGCCATGTTGCGCAGACCAGGAAGCGGCCGCCGCCTGTGTTGGGGAATAGGGAATTCGGGACCTCGATTTACGTTTGCGGTCGCTGCATCCGTTACGTTCAAGCTATGTGGACACGGAACCCGGCATCCTACGCAGAATTGAGTGGAGAACAAGATGAAATCCTAAAAAAATCATCAGATACAAGGAACCAATACGTTAAACCCTTATAATTCAATGGGGAAATATGAAAATTGCTATTTTGGCGCCGAGAATGATCTGAAACTATCTCAAGCATATAGAATCATGATTTCATGCACTCCTTGCAAGGTTCTATGCTTCATATTTGCATTGTTGCCCTTGCGTGACGTCATTTGTGACGTCACAAGGGTCACAATTTTTCTTCAATAACTCCCGATCAAATTGAGCTAGCGAGTCGGGAAAGCCACCAATGGACTCAGGAAGACCTGCCGAATCGAATGATATGCGACATGACCTCTTTCGACCAACTTCGTGACCTGGGGGTGCTGACCTGACCTTGACCTGAGGTCAACACCCTAAGTTGACCTGACCCGAACAAAAAGTATATCACTCGATGCGCCTGAGCTAGCTGAACACGATGATGCCAAAATCGCGGCTCTACGGCCATTTTTGGCGAAGTTATTTACCAAAAACCGAACCCGTGCCTTAGATCACTTGACCTGACCTCAGAGGTCACCGGTTGACCTGAGACCTTTACAGCTGGTTCCTACCAGTCACTCTGCATTATACTTTGCCGCATACGACCACTAAACCGCTTAATTCTAGTTTAATTAGCGGCCCATTAGCGAGGTGGGTTCAATCAACCCCCTCGGCCGGGGCAAATGTAGGTCCGGCGAGTGAATTTGAGGAATTCTGAAGATACTATCGTGTTCCCCACTCAATTCTGCGTAAGATGCTGGGTTCTGTATCTACGTAACTTGAACGTAACGGATGCGGCGGCCGCAAACGTAAATCGAGGTCCCGAATTCCCTATTCCTCAACACAGGCGGCAGCCGGTTCCTGGTCTGCGCAATATGGCCGCCACCGTTAGACACTACGGCCAATAGGGTTGAAGCGGCAGTGCTCCCCTGTGGTGACAAGATAAGAAATTGAAGCAAGACTGACCAGTATGCTATAGAATAGGTAGCCCAATCTGCAGGAATATTAAAATTCAAAAGTGGAATTGGGACTTATGAACTGGAAACTGCATCAACTATGATTATGTTTGCCAAAGTATAAAAGATATTAATATTTACCATAAAGCACAGGAAAATGATAGGACCCGGTTGGACCCGGCCAAATATTTTGAGGGACCCGGTCTGGACCCATCCGGGTCCAGACCGGTTCCATAGACCGGGTCCCCGGGTCCACATTTTGCCACCTCTAATCGACACCAAACTTTGCATGCCTTCGCTCTGGCTCTGGCTCTGGCTTTTGCAGGCATTGCAAAACGGAAAATCGGTCTAACGTGACATTGATAAAATAATAGATAAGCCACTTTGGGGTATAGTACCCGAATTTTCAGGGTTGATATGAAATTGAAATCGGTTCACTGTTGAAAAATGTCCTGAGGTGCTTAAACTCACTTGAGTTATTTGCGAAAAAAAAAACATGAGTGGCAAGTGGGTAAAAAACGGTGTGGTCCCGCTCTGTCGAAATTAAACGAGATCCGAAAAAAGTTACGCGCCATTTTGCATCAATCTTATCTTAAAGTAAATTATTTTGACAAGTCAAATTACATAATTAGACATGCTGCTTTAATCGACGTATGATTATTTTATGCTGGCCCGATTAGTCATCTAGTACTACACGCTCGTCTTGACATAGAAATACAGAGACAACAGCAACAAATAATAAAATAAGAAAACGAACCTCCACCATACGCCAGTCTTCCGCTTCCGTCGCCTTTCGTTTTCCTCCACTCTTGTCATAATGCGTTTCCAAATCACTTTCCCCTTCCTGCTCATAACGATGTATCCACCGTCTGGCAGTTGTCAGAGCAACACCGAGAATCCCTGCCTGACAGAGTGACCTCGATCAAAAAGCAAGACGAGCCTTCCCTTGTCAAAATCACTGAGGTGTGCCATCGCGCTCATGTCTAGCCGCACACACACCACGCGGGCTGCGGCTGCATACTGAATGGCTCCCCTTCCACGGCTTTCCTCCCCACTCGGAACAGAAACAGCCAGGTCATGTCACCGCGTGACCATCAAAGGATACTGTTCTGCATTACACTAATCGGTACACTCTCTGACACACCAGGCCTGCCCCGCCTCGGTCCCGGTATGAGCGCGGACTCTGCGCCCAATAGTACTTCCATACAGAAGGCCGGCGCGCCCAAGGCCGTATATAGGGGCGCGCCCGAGCCCGGCCCGGCCCGATCCACTCCGCCGGCGAGTGAGCTGGCTGGGCGGGGCCGGAGCTGGGCGGCTGCCGGCAGGAGCGTCGTTTTGTATAGGCAATCTTTTATCACTTATCAGTTGAAAAAGAAGTCAAAAGATAAACAAATAAGCACATATGTACATATATGAGGTTCTAGCCACAGTATAGGTGCATGTGCTGACAATGAGGCATCGACCATCGTGTCTTGAACTCTGGTTCTATGTGGATTCTAAGAGACTCGAAATACCAATTGGTTAGGTATAGACTGGTCCATAACTGCCTCTGAGTGCTGCACACCACGCGACCGCCCCTAATAGACCCCGAACCGTCTTCACACCAGCCGCTGGAGGCCCTACACCGTAGAGATGTCAATCGGATACAAGCTTTTTGGTATACCGATACCAAACCGATACCAACTTGGTATTTGGTATTTCAAGGCTAATACATTTGGTATTTTGTTGGTATTGTGAATCGTCGCTAATGTAAAAGAGGCTGTGAATTCGGTAAAAAGTTTGTATTTCCCTCAGTTTCTGAAGTTGCTTTGGTTTTGGCACAGATAACAGTAGTACTGGATTGGAAACAGAATATTGGCAGTTGCAGTAAGAGGCCGAATGTTTTTATGCGACTGCGCCAAAATGGGATTCTCGCGTGCTTCCGGGTGGATAATTTGTGTGTTGTGTATTGCAAGAAATCGTCATTTTTGTGTTTTGTCGTTTACATTTAAAATCGAAGCTACCAATGTTACTTTCATTTGCTTAAAAAATTAAAGTATTTCACTTTTAATTTGATTATTTAGAGGGCACAATGCGTGGTGTTTTCTTTTGAAAACAAAGTGTGGTGCAAAGCCTTACATACGTATAGGTACATCAACAATGGAGGAGGGGAATGAGCGGTAAAAACCTGCCGTTCTGGCTACAACCCAACGAACCAAGAGGAACAAAATATTAGAACAGGAGATGTCTCACATGCCACCTATTCGCTTTTCTCACCGAAACATCTCTACGGGCTCAGTGGGTTGGCGCCATGGGTCACCGTGACGCTGAGTGAAATCAGGACTATTCCGCTGCATGTGTGAGCTGCATTTCAGAAAGGAAGATTTCGAAGATGATCGGTCATTTCGCACCGGCATGCAGAGACAGCGCCGTCGGCTCAAGAGCGACGCAGTCCTGTCAGTATTGACCAGCGTGGATTACGCGATGCCCCCTGTGCACGAGCGGCCAGCGAAACTAGCCATGGCATCCGCACGCCACTCACACCAGAAGCAGGTTATGAAGGACCAGACCGATGCGTTCTTCACGAATGACAATGTCAGCTATCAGGTGGCAACTACAACTGGTCGAGTGTCCGACAGTTCCTGGAGAATGAGGCGGTACTCCGAAGTCGAACTAAGGGCCTCAGATGGTGGTCACTGGTCACGTTTCAGCCCCGCCGACGCCTCCGCCCGAATGGCACCATCAGCATCACAGCATGAGCAGGAGTGACAGCAGGATGGTGCTCTTGTCATCCAGGAGCCAGTGGCCGCGGTGGCGAAATCCACTGAAATGGAGGACCTGGATGACAGCGCCAAGACCTCCCTGGGACACAGCTCTGGCGCCTTGGCACGCTCGGCCACCAGGCGTAACAAGTACGATGCCTCCGCCAGCCTGCTGATCTATCTTGGGGCTACGCCGCTGGAGGTACGACTGGAGAAAGACGAGGAAGACATCGACCTCACCGTGAGGATCTGCCATATTTGGAGGCAACTGCCGAAGACGGAAGCTAACAGGAACCAGCTGCTGGTCTGCGATCAACCAAGAAGTGACGAAGATAGTCGTAAACCGGGATGTCGAACTGACCGGAAGTCGTTTGCAATGATAGCCACGACGTCCTTAGGAGCATCCTTCCAGAGATGTATGCGACGGTTTTCAATCTACTCGTATTTGCTGGAAAGTGTGGAAACATGGTAACTGATATGTGAGGCAGACACTCAAGACAGTGCTGTCCATCGAAAGTCAGGAAGCATACACCCCAGCGGCAATCGGGTTGCACCCAAGGTGCAACCCGATCGAGGAGCGACAAGAGGCCAAAGCTCAGCAGGGTCAAGAAGATGTAAGGCGGGGAAGTAAGGTCGCTGATGAAATTGGGAGGGCAGGCGAAGCGAAGTGACACTTGAAGGGGTGTTTTGTGACGTTGGTTTGAATTGTGACGTTTGGATGGTTCGTTGTGACAGGACTGGTGTCGATTAGCATGTAAATAAAGAGATCAAACTCCCATGTACAAGTACTTTTTGTGGATGAGAGTGGGAAATCATTATAATCAACTCAGTGGCATACGTTCCCTCACCACGGTGAGGAAAGTGTAACCAGCAACGTTTAGTAAAATAAGTTGCCATTATGCAAAAATGCAGCAATAAACACGAGCACGGCTAAATTGCTTCTTTATAAGTTTCATTCACATAAACCAATTTCTTTTTTGCCTGTGTGAGAAGATATCGAAGTCTGGACACGAAATATTCGGTTTTGTTTTCGGCCTCTTACTGCAGCCACCGGAATCCTGTTTCCAATCCAGTACTACTGTTATCTGTGGTTTTGGTATTTTCCTATGGTTATTGTTGGTATTTGGTTTGGTATCGGTATCACGATTTTCTGTAACTGACATCACTACTACACCGACTTCGAAAGGTGCCGCGATGCTCCAGAATAGGCCATAGCACAGATAACAGTAGTACCTGTTATCAGTATCAGTACTACTGTTATCTGTGGCCATAGGTATATTGATTTGAGTGGATGATGCAACCTGATTCCCGAATCCCGAGGGTCCAACGCCAGGTCAGTACCGCATCAGATCACGAAAACTCAACCTCATAATCTTCGTGGGGTGTTCAAAAAGTTCCGGGCCGAACAATGAAGGAGTTGGAATTTCGGCCAGCAAGGTGGTGTGTTGACTGATGTAGGTATTATTGTGATGTCCACTTACGTAACCCCCTCGCGGGCCCGGGGGAGGGCGTTTTTCGCCCCCCCCCCCCTGGCGAATATTTGCGATAGCTCCCGAACGCTTAGGGATAGGAAAGCGAAACTTTCGGTACCCTTTTCCCCATTGATTTGACATCTTCTGAAGTAAAAAATTTGGACCTAGTCCCATTGATGACGTCACAGTGTTAAAATGGGCCAAACAGCTATTCATCAACTGGGCATTTCACCGGGCTGAAACGCATCGATGTCCCCTGATTTTGCATATTATAATGCATTCAATAGGAACAATGAACATGCGATGACTCATTCATTTCGCGCAATAAAAAGCATAGGTTCTCAAGTCAAAGTGAAGGAAAAGACCAATCAAAATGACTCGTCTAATACAGACATTGTTTAAATACTCTACACATTTAGGTGGTCATAGGTGGTCTTATGATGTTCTCTGTTTTTGAATATTTTCATACCGGTTCTGTCCCATTGCATTCAGTAAGCGACCATACATGCTTATTGCATGTATGGTCGGCATGTAAACAGTGGGTTCTCGAGAGTAACGTTACGGAATATTGTGAATGCTGATACGATGTTCAGCATGTTGGAGCGCAGTTAGATCGAGTAGGACTTTCATCGGGCTGTGGCACATCAATTCCCTCTCATTTTGAATATTTTCAAGCATGTTATCAGAAAATGCGATTATTTTCTTTCATTAAATGCAATAAAAAACATGGGTTCTCGAGTCTATGTCAATCAAAGGTCCGATCAAAATGGGTCATGTTTTACGGACGTTGTCAAAATACCCTACACTTTTAGGAGCCGGTGGTCTTATGATGTCCTCTGTTTGTGAATATTTTCATACCGGTTCTGTCACATTGCATTCAGTTAGCGACCATACATGCAATAAAAACAGTAAGCGACCAATGACCATACATGCAATAAAAACAGTGGGTTCTCGAGAGTAACGTTACAGAATAGAGTGAATGCTGATACGATGTTCAGCATGTTGTTTTGAATATTTTCATACCGGTTCTGTCACATTGCATTCAGTAAGCGACCATACGTGCAATAAAAACAGTGGGTTCTCGAGAGTAACGTTACGGAATAGAGTGAATGCTGATACGATGTTCAGTATGTTGGAGCGCACTTAGATCGAGTAGGACTTTCATCGGGCTGTGGCACATCGATGTCCTCTGATTTTGTGTGTACCAAGGCATTCTGTAAGAAACTGGAACTATTTACCTTCATTTAGTGGAATAAAAAACGTGGGTTTTCATGTCTAAGTAAACTAAAAAATCTATCATGACGGGGCATGGAAGACGATGATGTGGGCTGAGGATAGCGTTCAATGATTTAGGAAGTACCGTTTTATGACGTTTTATTACGTCATACTGCAGCGTGAGTAGCTACATAGCCCACTCCCAGCTGAAGAAAAGTTGTTACATGAGTTTGCATTATAAATTGGTGAAGTGTCTTCACTTGTTATTTCTATCTTACTATTTGTGGTGACGTAGTTTCTGTCTGTTACCGAGGTCGCAACATGGTGCTACGGAGTGTGAGTGAAAATGAGGTTTTAAGGCGTCCCTGTCCATTGGACATTCGGCCGCCTGTAAAGAATCTGTTTGCTAGAAAAATATCGAATTGCTAGAATTTTGATATTGCAAGTGCTCATTTACTTTAATTAAGTGTGTGTGAGTTCTAAAATTTTGACCTTTAAAGTGCTCGGTAACGCGTTGTGGGTTTCTTGGGAGGTGAGTGGGATCCTGGGACTTACTTTACCTACTTTTAGAATTAGTTTTACGTTATAGTTACTTTAAAGGGTTGTTAAGATACCACTTTGTCCTCCATCAAGACAATAAATTCGATTTGGGATTAATTTTGCCATGGTGCCGGCACATGGCCTACTCTTCACGAACTACACCATGGGTTCTTTATCGTGCGGGTTAGGAGGCAATCCCCACACCCCCTCTCACGCCGGGTGTCGCGTTCACCCTACAATGCCGGGTGGTGCATGGGCCTAAATAATTATTGTCTGAAGGACAAGACTGCATGGCCATTTAACAACTTTGAAGAGGTGAAGACCAGTTGGCCTCTCTTAATTTTGAATCTCTCCTGTCTGGGCGTGACTGGCACCAAGCTTGGACCAGCGCACGGCTGAGTGGTGTGGTGAATGTCGGCCGGCGTAACTGGCACCAAGCTTGGACTAGCGCCCGGCTGAGTGGTGTAGTGAATATCAGCCGGCGTATCTAGCACCAAGCTTGGACCAGCGCTCGGTTGAGTGGTGTACTGGGTGTCAGCCGGCGTAACTGGCACCAAGCTTGGACCAGCGCACGGCGGAGCCAGGAGAATTCTCGAGTGTGATTACCGCTAAGTCAACTGTTGGGATGTTGGGCACGGCACTTAACTGTTCATTTATGTGTGCTTTAGAGTGCTCCTGTTAGCTTAGTGTCTTGTAAATATCTGAAGAGAAGTGCTAATAGCTCTGGGTATCTGTCACCTAAAAGCTGATCTAAGCTCAACGTTACGTTCTCCTGCCGACAGAAGGCAATGATGTGTTGTCGGTGGAGGTTGAAGTGAGAGCACTCTAGCAGGATGTGTTGAACTGTAGGCACTGTGTTGACATTGCAGAAGGCACAAATGTTATATTGTTGTGGTTCTAGCCATGGTGCGTTGAGTCTGGTGCGTCCAGTTCTAAGTCTGGTGAGCATTACTTCCTTTTGCCTTGTGTTTTGTTTTGAGGTCGCCCAGAAGCCTAATCGGGGTTTGATTGAGTGCATGTGTGCTGGTCCTATCTCGTCCCATGTCGTTTGTCGTAGTTGTTGTATGTGGAGTTCGAGGATGGCCTTGCAGTCGTCTGCCGGGTACTGTATTGCAAGTGGTTCTGCTAGATGCAATGCTTGCTTTGCTAGTTTGTCTGCCTTTTCGTTTCCAGAGATAGAAGCATGTCCAGGAATCCAAAGAAATTTAATGTTCCGTTTTTCAGGGATAGAATTTTGAATGCGAGAAATGATGAAATGTGTTGGGCTTGTGGTGTTACTCAGGGCTTGTAAGACTGATTTTGAGTCGGTGCAGATTACTACGTTACTAAGCTTTTCATGGGTACATAATTTGACGGCGAATAAGAGGGCCATGGCCTCAGCTGTGAAAATGGAGAAGTTATCCGGTAAACGTCTGCTTAATTCAAAGTGTGGAGTCGTCAGTGCAAAAGCTACTTTGTGTTCCTGTTTTGAGCCGTCAGTGTACATGAATGTTTTGTTTGGGCGCTGTGCTTTGTATTCGTTAAATTTCGACTGCATTTCTGTTGGTGTGATGTCTGATTTGTTTCCAGAGAAAAGATATTCGATTTTGGGTGGTGCCTTTAGCCAGAAGGGTTTTGCTCGAGGCCTGGGTGCCAGATCCGGTAAAGTAAATTGCAGTTTAGATAAGCAGGTGCTCAACTGATCATTTAGTGATGGGTGTCGTAATCGGGAATGTCTATGACATCCGAGTCTGCTTATCGGCCGGAAGCAGTGTTGCACTGGGTGGTTCGGAGTTGTTTTAACGTTAATGGCATATCGGCAAAGTTGTTGCATACGTCTTTCCTGGCAATTCAACATGTTGACGTCGGCCAGAAGTGTCGCGTTTCGTGTACTGGGTATGGCCCCGGTTGCAATGCGCAGACATGTGTTCTGGATGGCTTCTATTTGTTTTATCTGGTGATCTGTTAGGCTTCCGTGATAAGCTATACTGCAGTACTCTAAAATGGGTCTGATGATGGCCTTGTATAGTTGCAA